AAAAAAAAAAAAAAAAAAAAAAAAAAACTATGTCCCTCAATGCTCAATTCCATCTGAGATAAGGCTTCCACTTCCGCCAAGCTATTGCTTTTCCTTTTGTCTGTGGCTTTGTCTGTTTATGAGCGTATGTGCACGTGTACATCTGTATGTAAGTCATGGGCACCTGAGAGGCATCTTAACAGCTGAATCCAAGCTTTCATTATGCATCCTCCTTTTTTGTCCCTTCTGGAAAATTTGGATCATCTCTCGCTCTATATGTGCCAGGCGCAGGGGCCGATGGCATGCTTAACTTCTCTGAATCGTTCCAATTTTAATGGCTGTGATGTCCCAAAGGGCGCGTTGTGTATTGTCTCCTCTTGGTTGCCTCACAGCTGACGACAAGAGCCCTGATGTGCTGGCAACAACACTGATGTATGTGCTGCCTTCTCATGTACATATGAAATGATATACAGACACTTTGCTGCTGGGTAGTGCGTACTTTGACAGCATTGAAGCGACTGACTTTTAGTTATTCAGGACGGCTTTTTGAAGGATGCATGCAGTGCATTTGGGTATCCGCGTCTGGCCAACACTTGGTTCATTGCTTGCAAGTCTCCCTGATGATCTGAAACTGTTATATAGGCTCAGAAGTGCTCTGTGTCTCCCACGAGTTACCAGGCATTGTGTGGGGGGAAGAGGTGGTGCCGAGTTGCTGGCCTATCTCCTCCTCTGGCCCCCACTACCCATCTGTGCTCGATAACCGCTTACTCTCCGTACTGCAGCTTACTTTCCTTGTTCTGTTGTGTGTCATGCAACCATGGAATCATCCTCATATACACCACCAGTACTTCAGAGCCGCTTTCGCCCAGGTCTCCAAACGCCCTGCGCGCCAAAGAAAAATGCACTGAGGGGGGGCGCTGAAAAAAAGGTGAGAGAGAAGTCTGGTACAATAGGGGTGCTAACAACTGTGTTATACTCGCTTGCAGCGCACTGGAGAGTCGAGACCAACCAACAGATGGCGCCTGATTTACTGTCCGGAGTTCTGGTGTACGGGGCGACTGGGTACACTGGCCACCTTGTTGCAAAGAAGGTGAAGGAGGTGGGACTCAGGGCCACTCTTGCAGGGCGTAATGAAGAAAAAGTGAAGGCCATTGCGAATGAGGTTCAGCTCCCATATGAGGTGTTCGACCTCAGCGATTCGGCGAAACTTGACAACTCGGTTGGTCGGCATGCGGTGGTATTGCATATTGCTGGGCCATACACTTACACGGCTCGTCCTATGGTGGATGCATGCCTTCGCAAGAAAGCTCATTACATAGATGTCACCGGAGAGTTGCGGGTTGTGGAAGCTGTTCAGCAGCGTGACGAGGAGGCGAAGGCCAGCGGCGTGACTTTGATGCCTGCCATTGGGTACGATGCATCTGCAGGGGATTGCGTTGCTGCACATCTGAAGAAGCGCTTGCCCACAGCAACCCATCTTGACCTCGGACTCTTTGTCCCAAGGTTCGCAGGATCGCATAGACCTCGCAGTCTGATGTTCTCTCGCGGAACTTTGAAGTCATTTCTTGTGGGAATCCTTTCCAGCGGTGGTGTGGTGAGGCGGGACGGAAAATTGGTGGACGAAGCTTTGGGTGCAAGGTGTCGCACCTTCGATCTGGGAGAGGAGGGTCATGCACCCTTTCTGTCGTTTGCCGGCAGCGAGCTGATTGCAGCACACCACTCGACAGGCATACCGAACATCACCACTTACATTCACAGTGCCATAAGCTTCCCCACCAATCGAGTATTTACAGGTTTGCTGAGGTCGAGTGCGTTCAAGTCTGTGGCGCAGTTCGCCATCGATAAAATGCTTCCAAGGGGTCCTCCAGAAATCGACGCGGAAGCTATTCAATTGGGAGCTGTAGGAGAAGCAAGGGATGAAAAATCAGGGAAAATTGTTCGAACATTTGCAACATGTGGTTCTGGCTACCCCTTCACCGCGAAAATGGTGGTGGAGGTGACAAGACAGATTCTCAATGGCAACTTCAAGCCAGGGTTCCAAACAGTTACCTCAGCCTATGGGCCGGAGTTCTTGCTATCAATACCTGGTGCGAAGTTTGAAGATTTGCCGGGCTCAGAATGACTCGAGGGCCAAGGGTATCATCGGTCCTTGGGGAACATGCCTAGTCGCAAAACTTCGGCCTTCTGGGTGTCGTCGATGGCAGACTTCAAGCCAGGGGTCCAAACAATTGCCTTAGCCTGTGAGAAAGAGTTCTTGCTCTCAATACCTGGTGCAAAGTTGGAAGATTTGCCCGGATCAGAATGAGCTGAGGGCCATGGGTTCACAATGAATGGCGGCAAGGTAGCCATACTAGCCATCCACCCAAAAGCTGAAAATACAGATTGTTAAAAGTTAAAACGAGAGAATACAGTGAAAAAGGAAAAAGTCCGAAAAACAAAGAGAGAGAGAGATTCTTTTTTGTGTAGGCTAATGCAACAAAAATTGGTAAGAACTAAAAAATAATGACCCCGTTTCAACTGACAAAATAATGAACTATTTCAACATGCACAGTCAAGACTCAAGACCTATTTCAACATACCTGTCCTTAGTACATTTGATTTCGGTTTGAAATTAATCACTTTCACAACGACTCGTTGTCTGGCACATGCCTATCAGCAAAACTTTGGGCTTCCGTTTGCCGTCAATAGCAGAGAATTGTGAACAAAAACAGGCCTGTCGCTCACGCGGTCAAGGCTATCTTCCACTGGCACACAGGGAAGGCAAGCAAGCAAGGAGCGACTGCCCGAAAAAGAAATCATATACATGATTTGAAAATTGGCATGGTGGGAGGTTCAATGCGCGTGTTGCAACAAGCTTCCAATTGATTGAATGAGCAGTGGGGCTTGACATGCATCATGAGCAGTGTTCCATTGGTGGGGAGCTGCACCTGTTGGAAACCAGGTCCGGCGTCCCTTTACAACAAACTCGCAGAACCACAGTTATACACTTTCACAGTTATGTTGTGGCTAAAGGCCTGACTGCTGTTTGGCTAACAATATCCAGCCTTGTGAGCATTCATCAGTGTTTCGCCGCAGTGGGAGCACAGATACAGAGAGTTCCGAATCTTCACCACAGCGTGGCACGGTGGCCATTGTTCAAGTCGTTGTACGTCGTCTTTTCAGCCCTTCCCAGTACCAACCGGGGCTTCCCCCATGCTTTTCCTGTGGCCACAGGCTTCCTTGCCATGGATGATCTGTCATTCTGGAGCCTCCTCCTGCATGGACACCTCCCATTTAGTGCCACCGGGGCTCCCCCCCACTTTCTTGTTGCCGTAGAACACCCTTCCCCGGGCCGTCTGTCGCTCCGGGGTCTCCCGCTGCATGGGCGCCTGCAATCTGGTAGCAGTGAGGGAGGAGGGTGGAGGTGGGGAGCGGGCGGGGGCAAAAGGGGGCGAACGTGGAGGCGGGGTGTGAGGGTACGACGAGGGCCCAGGCAGGGCTAAGGAGGGGGGGGGTGTTGAAGCAGGCATTGGATTGCAGGGCAAGTGAGGGGCTGGGGCACTGTCCGCTGGTGGCAGCGGGTGAAGGGGGGACAGGGTGCCTAGGGGGAAGCTGGTGGTGTATGCGAAAGTAGCACAAAATCAGTCTGGAGATAGGGAACCTCAAAACAGCTCCCATGTCTCCTTTGCCATGAGGGCTCTGTAGACCTCTACGGCTTCCACTGGATGTTTAGTCCAGTGTCCAGCTCTGAGAATAGCTTACGCGGGTCCTGCCAAAGTTGATGATAGCGTTGATAGGTGTCCGTGTCCTCAATAGAAACTCTCTGGGAAACAGGTCCCTCTCTCCCTGGGGTTGGCCATTTTCATTGATGTCCAAGTTTCTGCTGGAGAATGTAGAAACGTACTTGGTGCCGGAGCCCGTATCGGCATCATGAAGAATGACAAGTTTCTTCTTCTTCTTCGTTAACCGCCAGCTCACCCAAATAAGAGTACTGCTTTCACCGGTATACGCGGTAAGAGGTTTTCGATTCAGGCCTGGGCCGGTAGAGACAAGTGGCAGACCACTTGGAAAAGGCGCAGTTGCAGGCTCACTAGCCTTGGAAAGTAGCTTTGTCAACTTAGGCTTGTGTGAACTGGTAGTTTAAGGAGTCTACTTTTGGGGGTTGATAAGAGTATCCCCCAAGAAGTTTCTTCTTAAGAGTGTAGAAATGTATGTAGCCCATTCTAACCAATTTGAGGATTAAGCCTTTACACTGTTTACAGACCATAAATTCTTTGAGGGTGTGGAAATGCAGATCAGCCTGTGTTTGCCCATGGTCAGGACTAAGCTGTTACAGATCAAAAGTGTTACAAGCGCATATTTTCAAACAATTTACGCATGTGATTGGTGAAGAGGGAAAGCGGTGAGTCGGTGACCCATTTGCGGGCCCAGGTCACAGTGACCTGTTAGATTGCCATTTTGTGTTAGTGAAATATAGCTAGCTGGGAGTAGTAGTTATGAAGTCATAGCTGTTGGAAACAATGATAAACTTGGGTACACAAGTGTTTGCTCTTGTGTGGAGGTATGGGGAGCGAAGGTAGTCGGGGCCTTGATGGTTTTCTATTTTGGCAAGGCCAGCGGTAAATCTGCAATGAATGCCTCCTTGGGAGAGAGATGAAGGGAAGGGTGCTCATTGGCTTGTACACTTATTGCCCTTGAAAAAAAAAAAAAAAAGGGCCTGGATTATCGATATGGAATTCAAAGAAGATACAGGGGCTGTCCTTCGGGACATTTGTTAAAAGTGGAACGATACAGAGAAGACTAGCATGGCCCCTGTGCAAGGATGACACGCATAAATCGAGAAATGGTCCAGGAAAAAGAAAGGGCCTCCACCCAGCTTTGGCTTAAACTGCTAGTACATGGTCCCATTCTTGTGGAGAATTGTCTGTCACCTACCCCGAAAAAGTCAGAGCTGGCACGCCGTCGGTAAAATACATCAGGCTGCCGACGTCACGTTTCGTCCTCCAAAAGGGGTCCAGGGACGATGTATTCCATTTACTGGTGGTTTAAAGTACCGCTGTCGACCCCCATCCTCGGACCCCTGGCATCTGGGGGTCCCGAACTCTGGGTCCGAAACCCCAAAAAAAAAGAAAAAGGGGGGGGGGGG